GGGAGGGAATTCCAGGATTGCGACCCAGCAACAGTGAAGGAACGGCGATATATTTCCAAGTCAGGACTAAATAAACCCAATTTCTATTTCCTGCCTCCGCGATGCAAGCCCAGTCCCAGAGAGAGCTCCCTGACTGAGTAACACGCACTAATGAAAGGGCATCTCTGTCACCTATAAGCCTATCATAGATCAATTTGGTAATAATTGATTTTTGGATTCATTTGCTGGCCTACATTGGAAAAAATCAAACTCTGACAACATAGCAATCTGAGTAGAATTTAGGGGTGCTGTGACTCAATTATTTATCGAAATGCAATCATTTGAGTGATTTTAAAACGTAAATGTTTGTGCAGGACTCTCTTTTCAGACAAGCTCAGGAATGTACTTGTGATTGACGATATACTTTTAGCCTTTGCTACTTTATGTAAAAGTAATAGATGCACCAATGGGTGACTATTGGATTACAGCAAAGAAGGCTGATAAACCGCTGCAACATGTCTTAGAGAGTCAGAAAGTGCCAATATGTAATTGAATTCAAGAAGGTTCAGAGTTTGTTCCCAGGTCCAGATCCCGATTCTCGGAGGGAATGTGGGTTTCTCACCCACATATGCCTCATTGAGGCCCAGAGGGTGCTTTGCAAGAAGGCTCCCTCTGGGAGTCCTGTCCAATTAAGTAAGGTGTGGGGTCTACCAAGACTGGGTGGCATGGTGGCTCAGTGGTTAGCACTGCTGCCTCACAGCGGCAGGGACCCTGGTTCGATTCCACCCTCAGGCGACTGCCTGTGTGGAGTTTGCACATTCTCCCCATGTCTGTGTGGGTTTCCTCCAGGTGCTCTGGTTTCCTCCCACTGTCCAATGGCTTTTCCCCAGGGTGGGGAAGTGTAAAACTAGAAGACATAGGTTTGAGGGGAGAGATACTAAAGGGTTCGGAGGGGCAACTGTTTCACACACAGAGGATGATGAGTGTCTGGAACGGGCTGCCAGAGGTAGCAGTGGAGGAGAGTACAACCTCATCACTTAAGAAACATTTGAACAGGTACATAGATGGGATAGGCATGGAGGGATATGGGACACAGACAAATGAGGCGAGATTAATTGTGAAAACTGAACAAGTTGGGCCAAAGGGCCTGTTTCCATGCTGTAAGCCTCGATGACTCTATATGCTGGTTAGGTGGATTGGCCATGCTAAATTGACCCCTAGTGTCCCAAGATGTGCAGGCTAGGTGCATTGACCATGGTAAATGCAGGGTTACAAGGAATGGAGTCGTGGGCTTGGTCTGGGCAGGATGCTTTTCAGAGGTTCAGTGCATATTTGATTAGCCGAATGGCCTCTTTCTGGACTGTAGGGATTCTACGAATACCAAAAGGAGACCCTCCAATGCTGTCACTGTGAGAGATGGGAGCCACCAATGGAGATAGGGGAAACAGAGACTGCCTCTCTCACTGATGTACCCCACTAAGATTTTATAGGTCCTTAAAAATCAAAGATTCACATCAGCTGCCAGGAGAGGCTCTCGTGTTGCAGTGAGTAATGTCCCTGCCTCACAGCCAGAAGCTCTGGGTTTGAGTCCAGCTGCAGAACAGGATAGCCCTTGGAAGGAAGGAGGGTTGGCCAAACAGTTTGACAATCAACTTCCATTATACACGAAAGTGAGAGTGGGAGAGATTCCGGATCGGTGTGTGTTTGGGAAAGTATGTTGGAGTTAAAATCATGGTTCATGCAGGTGAATGAATACACAGCCCCAGCTCAAATTCCCTGACTGAAAACATCAATCACTAAATCAACGTTTAAAGTCATTGTTGTTTGAGAGAGCTTGCTGTGTACTAAATGGTTGCCTGTTTCCTACATAACGACAGCTACAGTGCTGCCGGTGAGTTATACTTCACTCAGGGAATCTGAGCTGGGGCTCTGTATTCGTTCATCAGCATGAATAGTGATTCTAACTCCAACATATATTCAGAAGAAGGGTCCTGACCTGAAACGTCAACTTTCCTGCTTCTCTGATGCTGCCTGGCCTGCTATGTTCCTCCAGCTCCACACTGTGTTGTCTATATAAATGCAGATTATTGTTCACATTTCAGCACAATAGTGCACAACATACAGAAAGAGAAAGGAACACAGGAACAGGAGTAGGCCATTCAGCCCCTCGAGCCTGTTCTACCATTTAATGATATCATGGCTGATCTAACTCAATCTACCTGCCTTAGGCCCATAACAACAAAAATGTATCTATCTCAGATTTAAAACTAACAACTGATCCAGCATCCACTGCAATTTGTGGAAGAGAGTTGCAAACCTCTACCACCCTTCATGTGTAGAAGTGCTTCCTAACATCTCTCCTGAACGGTCTGGCCCTAATTGTCAGACAATGCTCCCTAGCTCTACAATCCCCAACCAGTGGAAATAGTTTATCTTTGTATATCATGCCTTTTCCTGTTAATATCTTGAAGACTTTGATCAGATTATTCTTTTACCTTTTAAACTCTAGAGAAAAACAGGCCTAATTTCTATAATCTGTCCTCGTAACATAACCCCTGAGGTCCAGTTATCATTCTTGTAAACCTATGTTCTACTCCGTCCGAGGCCAATCTATCCTTCCTAAGGCATGGTGCCCAAATCTGCTCTCACAGTGCTCCAAGTGGGGTCTAACCAGGGTTTTCTATAACTGCAGCATAGCTTCTGCATCCTTGTACTACAGTCCTCTGGATATAAAGGCCAGCATTCCATTAGCTTTCTTGACTATTTTAAGCACCACTTCATGGTATTTTAAATGTCTATGCACATGAATCGCCAGGTTTCTTTGGATATCCATTGTATCTAACTTCATACCATCTGGAAAGTCCCCTGATCAATCCATTTCTGGTCAAAAATGGATAACTTCACATTCACTTACATTGAAGTCCATCTACCACAGTTTTGCCCATTCACCTGGTCTACCAATATCTCTTTGTAATAACCATAACAATTTAAGAAATAGGAGTAGGCCATTTGGCACATCTACTTCACCATTAAATAAGATCTTCATTGACATGATGGTGATGTTAACTCCACTATCCTGCTTGTAGCTGACCCCCATAACCCTACATTTCCTTGTAAATCCAAAATCTGCCTAACTCAGCCTCAAATATGTTCAATGACACTGGCTCCACTCTTCCTTGGGTTAGAGAATTTCAAAGATATTTCTTGTCACCTCCATCTTAGGTGGGAAGCTCATTAGTTTTAAACTGTACCTCCCAGTTTTCAATTCCCCTATAAGGAGAAACAATCTCACAATATCTACTCCAGCAAGACCCCTCTGAATTTGATATGAACATAGAGCAATACAGCACAGTATAGGACCTTCGGCCCATGATGTTGTGCTGACCTGTTATCCTACTAAGATCAAACTACCCTGCATACCCTACAGTTTACTATCCTCCAAGAGTCATATAAATGTCCCTAATGTATCTGACTCTGCTACCACCGCCAGCAGCGCATTCCACACACCCACCACTCTCTGTGTGAAGAATCTACCTCTGACATCTCCCCTATACCTTCCTCCAGTCACCTTAAAATTACACCCCCTCATAATAGTCATTTCTGCCCTGGGAAAAAGTTTCAAGAAGATCACGTGTCATTTTTCTGAATTCCAATGAGTACACACCAAACCTTTCTGCATTAGACACCCAAGATTTCCCTGCTGACTGTTTGTAAAGTCAACTCTGATTGGCCAACATGTGCTGTATTGAAAATGACAGGGAAAAAGAGACTCCCCAGACTCCTGGGTAATTCAAATTTTACCATGCCAACCCCTTGGCCACTCAGAGTCAACTTGCCAACCAATCAGCATCCTTATCTTCTGTAGTATAAATTATGATCATTGTTTGAAATCTACCATACTTGCTTTTGTCCTGATTAGGGCAAGCAGAAAAATATGAGAAAATATCTCTTTTCAGCAAGATTTAGTGAATGTTCTGAATCATTTTTTGAATGCCAGTGACATTAAATCAGGTTACCCACAGGAGATAGACTAGAAATTTATCAAAATTGCTTATTTTTTGCAATAAACCCGTTTTCAACTGTGTGGAAGAAACAACTGCACTCTTAAATGTATCAAGAAATACTTCAATGCAAGAGGAAAAGTTATGATTGATTACAGCGTCACATCAGGTTTGATGTAATGATTATGTAAGTAAGTTGGGAGAAGTTTAACCTTACTCTGGAAGAGCCACTACAATTCCAACTACGCCCAATTGCCAATTCCACCCAAAGTGCAGACATTTTTAATCAACATGTTCAGAGATATACCTCTGGTGGAGATAGAACTTGAGGCTAGACCAGAGGTAGGAACGCTACTGCTGCTCCCCAAAGTGTAAACTATGCCATCTTCATGATAAAGTTCTATTCAATCAATTGCCCAGGATTGATTGACTCTGTAGGTTAGTTCATTTACATCAGTAAAACACATTACAGGTTATGAAGCAGACATTATAGCAGATCAACTGGCATCTGTGTGCAGGGCTTGTAAACTCTCAGCAGAATAACTGACAGGCAGAATCACAATATTATTTACACAAAACACGTGGTATCCTTAAAGACAAACTCATTTGAAGGCGATGTACGCACACAATAAATTGCACCCCAAGCCGTTTCTAATATTCATGCTTATTAATGATTCATTATTTCCTAAACTGTTATGAAAGTCATCACTAAGTACCAAGATAATACAGTGTGGAGCTGGAAGAACACAGCAGGCCAGGCAGCATCAGAGGAGTAGGAAAGCTGACGCTTCGGATCGAGAGCCTTCTTCAGAAAATGATTTCCTGCTCCTCTGATGCTGCCTGCCCTCTTGTGTTCCTCCAGCTCCACACTGTGTTATCTCTGACTCCAGCATCGGCAATTCTTACTATCTCTGACTATGTACCAAGATCCCTTATTCCACTCATTCTTGGCCAGAGTTGAACGATATCAAAGGAAACAAGTAGAACAAACAACAAATAGATGATTAAGAATGTGCTTACCTGTGGCTACTTGTGGCCATGCCTTTGGTTCAGTTGCAGAAGGAGTTGGAATATGCGATGGCTCTTGTGATGCACTGGTTAAGACTTGCTCTGTAACTGCTGTTGTGCCTTTAATAATGCTTCTGATTGTTTCATGTTCAATGGTGGGTAAATTATCAAGTTGCTGGTTGGAAAGGTCAATAGTCATCACTTGAGTAGCCTTGCTTTTCAAGAATTGTTTCCCCAAGAACTCCCAGTCACTGTCGAGCTCATTTTTGGCCATAGGTTCTGGCCCCAGTGGAGGCAATTCATTGGATTCACCAATAACAACAATGTCCGATTTCATCTCTTTAGCCAATAAACTCATCGTCACAGCTTGAGGGCTGAATCCATCTGAATCAGTAGAAGCTGAAGGTGTTGAAATGCCAGGAGGCGTTCTGTTGAGACTAATAGACGCTGGCTCCTGTGTTGGTTCTGTTTCAGATCTTTGACCTTGTGAGGCACTGGTTTTCTCTTTTGGATTTAATGTGATGGTTACAGTTTCAGGTGCTACGAGAGTCAGGCTTGCTAGAATTAGGTCGCTGGAGTTATGAGATTCTTCCTCTTTTGGCCCCTCAAATGTCACGGTTGGGCTTCCATCTCTGGCCAAGAACGTTCCCCTGGTTGAGTTATCAACGTGGTCACCACTGTAATCCAGTCCACTTCCTTCATAAATGTCCAGCTCCTTTAACACACCAGACAGACTACCAGAAGAGTTCCTGTTGTTGATTGGGGGTAAATTGCTGGAGGCGTTTGGACTTAAGTTGTGTTCCTCTGGGTCAGTGGAGAGTGAAGAGCCGTTTCCAGAGAAATGGTGTTGTTCTGCATCAGGTGTTGGGGTGCGTTGCTCCAGATGTTGCTGCACCGTCTGCTGTGTGACAGCGAGATTATGGGATGGCGGTTCCACCACTTGCTTTGACAGCTCAGTGAGTTCAGTCCCAGAGAGTAAGGACCAGTCTTTGAGGGGCAGCTTGCCCGAAATAGGTGTTGCTGTGTTTGAGCTTCCATTTCCTCCTTGTTCCATGGATAGTTGTGGAATCTGTAGCTCTGAATTTGCCAACGCAGAAGCTCCTTTAAGATTCATCCTTTCCTTTGTGGATGGCTGTACATCACCAGCTAAATAGGAATTCAGAAAGAAAAGATAATGTGTTAACTTCTACAGCTTCAGGAGAAAGGTGCATGACTCTGGAATTCCTGCTCTGACTTTGTAAGTGAGGGAGAGGTTAGAGGAGGACAACCATGATCCCAGAAGCAGTTTGTAAAGGGTGGAGGACTTAGGGAAACCTGGACAGACACTGTGTCTTTTCAGTCAGGCTACAGCTCCTTACATTTTGGTTATTCCAGTTGAGCCTGGCTCGGCAGCTGACCATCTAATTGACAAGCGGTCAGCTAGGAATGGTAAATAAGAGGCCACTTCGGATCTGGTGACTCTATTCTCCCCTTGTGATAGTGATCAGGGAGCAGAGGATTTAGGGGCTCTGGCATTAGTTAAGGAATTGGTGTCCAAGAAAACCCAACCAAAGGCCTCCCTATGACACTTGCAAAAACACCTTGATCCTCCTGACCCACAGAGACGATCAAAACTCTTCTGACCCAAGATCCCTTTCCTGTGGGTTGGACCTGGATGAAGAGGGAGGAATAGTTTCCTTAACAAGTGTCACTTTGGCTTACAATTAGATTAGATCCCAGTTATGAAATGAGACCTGCGCTGGCTCTTCTCCGAATGTCAGTTTGGGTCAGCTGACCCATCATCAGCTCGAAAAAGCAAGTTAATATTGGGAAACAGCAATTTCAGAAAGGACTATTCACACTTCTCAGTTTTACTGCCTTAACCCACCATGATACCCCCAGTCTGGCTGAGGGTACACTGAGGTTCTGTCTGCTTTCTCAAAAGTTTGGGAAAGATCTCAAGGTCTATTGCAAGGAGGAGCAGGGAAGTTCTCCCTGGTGCTCTGATCAATATTTATTCTTCAATTAACATCGCAAAAATAGATTCTTACGCTGCTGCCTGTCGGACGTTTGCTATATACAATTGGTTGCTGCATTTCCCATATTACAACAGTAACTGCAGTTCAAAAATATCTCATTCATTGTAAAGCACTATTAGATGCCCAGTGGTCATGGAAGGTGCTATATAAATGTAAGTACTTTTTTCTGAGCTAAGATGGGGTTCTCAATAACTTCGCCTAACCCCCACTATTGCAGTTGTCAGTGGCTTTAACATACATCAAATACAATCTTCAGCACAGGGTATCGAAATTGCAAACATCAGTCTTAAAAGCATCCCTAATGTCAACTTTGAAGGCACCCTTTCACCAATCCCTTCCACTCCTTGCTTGAAGACATTGGCTCACACTGACATCTAGGTCCATCAGGAATCAATTATCCCATTAGGCCCATCTTCATGACTTTTACAATACATTACTAACAGAAGGAAGCATGGTAAACACAGCTCTGGTTCGTTGGGTCGTCAAAGAAAACTCTACTAGTTCACCCAATGTTCTTTAGGGAAGGAAACCTGTTGTTGTTACCCATTCTTGGCCAGTCCTACACTTGGGACAGCGTGGTTAACTTTTAACCTGAGGCCCAGAAATGGAATGCATCGTTTCTTGGCTTAACATGACAAATCCATGGCTTCTGCCACATAATAACATGAGAAATAGGAATGAAAATAGACCATTCAGCCCATCAAGCCTGCTCTGCTTCCAAACAATAAGTTAGTATGCAAGTGCAACAAGTAATTAAGAAGGCAATGATATTTTGTCCTTTGTTGCAAGGGGTTCAGAGTTTAAAAATAGGGAAGTCTTGTCCAACTTTATAAGGTCTTGGTGAGGCTATACTTGCAGTACTGTGTACAGTTTTGGCCCACATAATTAAAAAAAGGATATACTGGCATGGGACATAGTCCACTGAGGTTCGACTGACTGGTCTGTGATTTCCTGCTTTATCCCTTGCTCCCTTCATGAATAACAGTACCACATTGGCTTTCCTCCAATCCATAGCACCTCTCCTGTCGCCAAAGAGGAATTGAAAATTATTGCCAGTGCCACTGTTATTTCTTCTCTTCCCTCAGCCAACAGCCTGAGATGGTCCATCCAACCCTGGAGATTTACTTTTCAGCCTTGCAGAGCACTCAGAGCCTTCTCTCTGTCTATGCTAATTTTTTATATCACAGACCTTCTCCCTGATTTCTCTCCCCACATCATCCCCTCACTAGTGAACACTGACACAAAGTATTCATTCCGAATCCCAGCTATGTCCACCAACTCCAGGCACAAATTACCACCGTGGTCCTTAATGGGTCCTACCCTTTTCTTAGTCATCATTTTTTCTTTAATATTTTTGTAAAATAACTTAGGTGTTTCCTCTACTTTACCTACCATCATTTGTTCATGCCATCTTTTTTGCTCTCCTAATTTCCTTTTTAAGTTTCCCCTTGTACATTTTATACTCTTCCAGGGCTTCTGTTGTTTTGAGCCCTCGGTATTTGCCATAAGCCTCCCTTCTTTTGACTGCAGGCCCATCCTTATCCTTTTCCACAACTATATCGAATCTAACGGAGTTATGATCGCTGTCTACAAAATGTTCCCACACAGATATTTCAACCCAGCTTCATTAACTCAAATTAAGTCCATCACTACCCGCTTCCCCCACCTTTCTTGTAGGGTGTTCCACATACAGGCTTAAAAAGCTGTCCTGGATGCATATTACAAATTCTGTTCCATCTAAACCTTTCACACCATGATTATCCCAGTTAATATTGGGGAAGATGAAATCCCCTACGATCACTACCCTATTACTTTTACACTCTTCCAAAAATTGCCCACATATCCACTCTTCTATTTAGGGGGCCTACAGAAGGGTAATATCTGAACTATTGACTGCTCCTTTCCTCCAGATGCTGCCTGGCCTGCTCAAATTACAACATGTGGGTATGATGTCATTGTTGTCACTGAGACTGGGTTGAGAGGGGAGGCACAATTGGCAGCTCAGTATTCCAGGATGCAGGGTCTTCAGCTGAGAAAGGAAAGGAGGAAAAATGGGTGTGGCAATATTGATCAGGAATCATGTGGTTACTCCTTTTAGTTTTTGAAGTTTTACCCATGTGGCATCATTTGAGGATCCTTCCAAGATGTCATCCTTCTTTACTGCTGTAATTGATTCCTGATCAATGCCCATTTTCCCCTCCTTTCCTTTCTCAGCTGAAAACTCTGCATCCTGGAATACTGAGCTGCCAATCCTGCCTCCTCTCTCTACCCAGTCTCAGTGACAGCAAAGACATCATACCCACATGTTGTAATTTGAGCTCGCAACTCATCTTGGTTCGAGACAAAACAGAACTGCAGTTGCTGGAATCCAAGGTGGACAAACAGGAATCTGGAAGAGCACAGCAAGCCAGGCAGCATCTGGAGGAAAGGAGCTGTCAACGTTTCAGGTATTATCCTCCTTCAGGAATGAAGCGGGGTAATATTCAAAATATTGACTGCTCCTTTCCTCCACATGCTGCCTGGCTTGCTGTGTTCTTCCAGCCTCCTGTTTGTCTACCTCTCAACTCATCTGCCTGGTTTGCCAGACTCCATGCTTTAAAATACTAACATTCAACCTTGCCAAAGTCACAGAGTCAGAGTCAGACAGCACGGAAACAGACCCTTCAATCCAACCAGTCCATGCCAAACATAATCCCAAACTAAACTAGTCCCACCTGCATGCTCCTGGCCCATATCCCTCCAAACCTTTCCTATCCAAATGTTTTTTTAAACATTGCAATCGTACCCGCATCCACCACTTCCTCAGGAAGTGTGCTCTGATTGGCCTATACGTCCTATGTCTTGTTGACTCACTTGCTCTCTCTTCTAATTCTCTCCCCATATCCCCAAATTCATGGAAGAAAAAGAGAGTCTATCTACACCAGTCTTAAATATACTGATTGATGGAACTACCACAACCCTCTACGATAGAGTTGTGAAGATTTACAACTCTTTGAGTGAAGAAATTTCTCCTCATCTCAGTCCCAAATGACTAACACCTTATCCTGAAGCCATGTCCCCACGTTCTTGATTCCCCAGCCAGGGGGAGAAAATCTCTCAGTGTCAAACCCTTCCGGAATCTCGAATATTTCAATGATATCACCTCTCCTGGAAGATCCTAGGCATTGGGTGCACCATCACCTGCAGCTTTCCCTCCGAACCAATCGCTTTCACAAATTAGAGATGTATAAATCATTCCTTCATCATCAGTGGATCAAAATTTTGCAAGTACTGATCTATCCTTCAGAATATGGCCTGCAACAGTCCAAGATTCAGACCATGACTACCTGAGGGCTACATTGTTTTTGATGTTTTTAATTCATTCACGGGATGAGGGCATTGATGATTAAGCCAGCATTTATTATCCATCCCTAATTGCCCAGAGGGCAGTTAAGAGTCAACCACATTGCTGTGGGGCTGGAGTCACATGTAGGTCAGACCAGATTTCCTTCTCTAAAGGATATTAGTGAACCAGATGGGGTTTTTCTGACAATTGACATGGTCATCATTAAATTCTTAATATCAGGAGGAACATAATGTCCTTGGAGGGAGTGAAGCATAGATAATTCACCAGAATGATACTGGGGCTGAAAGGGTTAAACAGTTAGATTACATAGTCTCATAGTCTCCGTATTGGAGATTCAGCGAGAAGCTACATCCTCTCTGCGAGGGTCATGTCCAGGTCAAAAAGATAACAACTTTCAAATTCAAGCCAGGTCATTCACATGTAATGTCAGAAAGCACCTCCTCACACAAAGTGGGGTGGACATCGCAAACTCTTTCTCCACATTGCTATTGAGGCTGGGGGTGGAGGGGATCAAGTGAAAATTTCCAATAGTTTGATAGACTGCTTTGATAATTGCATTGTGTATGAACCTCGATGGCCTGAGTTTAACTCTCATTCTATGGCAATCTACGAAGAAATGTGTGGAGGGAGACACAGAATGATGGAAGAGGGTTTCCGGACTCAATATCAAGTTCGATAACTTTAGGGCTTGAGCTCTTCCATGTCCTTACCTCATCCCCCACACACCAGGCCTTGTTACCACATAGTCCATTGTTACATACCACCCAGTGTTAGCCACTAAC